GAACTTATGCTACAGTGGCTGGCGACAGCTTGACAGTGCTGAGACTTCAACCCCTGTGCCACCAGGGAGGCCCCCAGCACATCTTGTTTTTCTGTTCATCCATCTGTGAACATTTGATTGGCTTGTTCCATTGGCTGTTATACAGTGCTGCTGTAAACTTTCATGTGTGTTTGTATGATGTGTGTTTTGTTTTCCTCGTGGTTATACCTAGTAGTAGAATTGATGGCTCATATGTAACTCTATATTTAACATTTTGTGAACTTATAAATTGTTTTCCAGAATGGTTGTTCCATTTTACCTTTTTATCAGCAATGTGTGAGGGCTCCAATTTCTCTGCATCCTTTACCACAACCAAAGATTTTGTTTTTGCATGGACTTTGTCCCCTTTGACAAAAGTGGAGATGCCATTTACTTGATTTAAGAAATGACAGTGTAACAGCCTTGAATATTTAGATCCCCAGTTAACAGATTAGCATACTAGGTCCTTCCATATTATTCTCTCATAATCTGCCCATTGTGTTTCTAGACCCTGATTGCAGAGGGATAAGCAGTTGGATGAGTCTTGCTAAATTATATATCCTTGACCCACTGGTCTAGCGAAGATATAAAACATTTTTGTTCTCCAAAGATTTCCTTCATGACCATATCTCGAGAATATTAAAATTTTAAAAATAAATTTATTTTAAATGGTGGGTTTCTTACCTATTAAAATAAAATATAGTTGTAGGAAATGTGGAGAGAGAGAAAAAAAAAAACAACAGAATTCGCCTATAACCTTACTACCCCAAAATGGCAACCATTGTTAACGTCAAAATGAAATATTTTTCTATGCATTTGAATGTATTTGTGACCATCTTCATATACTTAATTGTATATAATTTTTGCCTGCTGTTCTTTCACTTTCCATTATTGCATAAATATCTTTGTCTTGTGAAGAATTCTTCATGAATGTCCTTTTTCAGAGCTTCATGGGGTCTGCTTGGGCTGCAGTAATAAAATACCACAGATTTTGTGGCTTAAACAACAGAAATTTGTTTTCTCATGATTCTGAAGGCTCGAAGTCTCAGATTAAGGTACCAGCAGGTTTGTTTTCTCTAGAAGCTTCTCTTCTTGACTTTCAGATGGCTACCTTCTCACAGTGTACTCACAAAGCTTTGTCCCCTGTTGGGACCGTCCTGTTATCTCTTCCTCTCTTCTTCTTTTTTTCCTTTTTTTTCCTTTGTTTTTTTGTTTTGTTTTGTTTTGTTTTTTCTTTTATCTAACCCTAACCCTCTTCCTCTCTTCTTAAACGGAAGTGAGTCCTATAGGATAAGGGCCCCATCCTTTCGATCTCATTTAATTTTAGTTATCTTCTTACAGACCAAATACAATCACATTGGGGGTTAGGGCTTCAACATAGGAATTTTGGGGGGACAGTATTTAGTCCATAACATATAATAATGATTTCTTGCTGTATTCTTAGCATTGCACATTCTTTTCATAGCTGTTTCTAATTTTCTTTTATTATAAATAAGTTTATGATGGACTTGATTTTGTCTAAAATATTTTTTTATGCATCCTGATGTAAATGGGTCTAAGAGACTATTTTTCCTTCTCTTTTGTAATTTTAATTAAAGTGTTGCTATTCACTTTTTAAGCTCTTTCTAACAAGCACCGAATTTTAATATGTAAGTCAGTGTTTTTGGAAACACCATCAGTATCCTTCCACAATAAAACAATGATGTTCATTCCTCCAAATACCCAAATTGAAAGTCTACCAAAACAAACAAAAAAGGCCCACACATTAAAAAAGTAACAGAAATCATGGTTTATTCATCAGTGCATTTAGTGACTTTCAGTGTGCTCTCTAATCATTCTTCAGCAGACTTTCAAAAAATAACACCATACCTCATCAAAATATACATTTTCCTTTGAAATTAAAAATAATAATTAAAAAATAACTGGAAGGAATTTACAATCAATTGCCTGATGCTTTTGATGTCATATACAGCATATGAGGGTCAGGAAGGCTATTTGCACATACATGGTTAGAGGATATTGATCTTCAAGGTTTAGTAACTTTCTTCCAAGCAGTGCAAAATACCCACAGTTCCAAATAAGAAGGGATGTCCTTTGAGAATTCCACAGAACAATACAGATGCCCGAGTTCTTTGCAGAGCATCAGGGCTTCAGTCAAAATGACAAAGTTCCCTTGTGTAAAACATTTCCCATCCTGTTACAGTGCTTTCATTGAGAGGTCAGGAAACAGTCTGAGAAATTCCCATGTGAAATCTTATGGAGACTTGGAGGTTGGAACAATAGTGAAATCATTCATCACATAATCAGACTCCCTCTTTTCTTGGGAATGCCTCTTCAGTTTGGGAATACAATCTTCTGTTAGAACCTGATAGCAGTCCCTTTCAGATTGTCGTCGCCATACGTTTTCTGAGTATTTGTTCCATCCATCCATCCATCCATCCATCCATCCATCCATCCATCACCATTTGGTCAGTCTCTACCATAGTGACCACCCTTGTTTTCAGTTTGCCTTTTTTATAAAATATGCCCGTCTCCAGGATCAGAACATCTTTGCCATTGTAATCTTCTTTTCCTCTGCCCATGAAAGTCCTGGTATACACCACATCACTCTCTGCCAAATGAACATCCTTGCTAAGGATGAGACTATTTCCAAATTGCTTCGAGTGTAGAATTTTAACATTCTGATAAGATGAATCTTTATTATATACCACTTCATGTATGTTGTACTGCAGCATTGTCTGTGGCCCCTCCTCTAACTATGGGTGGTAATTGCTTTACTTGCCCAGTAATTTCTGCACTTGATTCTTTTGTTCTCCAACTCTGTTCAGAAGACTTTCAACTTCTTTACCTTGTAGCTCTGAAGGCCCGGCAATACCAACCCATGTGGGTAAATCCTCCTGTTGGCAAAGCTGCCATTTTTCTTTATGAAGGTAGCTAAATAACCGTGGTCCTGCTGGGTATGCACTATCTGTCACGCCCATCTGGAAAATGGACTGGGGCCTATTAGAATGGTCTCACTGGCAGCCTTGGCGCTGAGCCTTGCTACTGCGTAGTATGAGGAGGCCTTAGCCAGGACTGGGGGAGACAGTGGAGGGAAGGATAGGGGTCCTCAGGGATGGCACCAGCTGGGGAGGCCAAGGGTCTATTAAGACTCTTAATAGAGATTGTCAAATTACATAAAAGGGCTCTATACCCATTATACTTTCTCTGATGTGTGAATGGTTGTTTTGCTGTACTTTTGTCATTACAAAAAATCTGTATTATTTGATATGCAAAAACAGAATCTTGTTTTAATGTGCCTTTTTTTTTTTTAAAAGATTTATTTATTTATTTATACAAGCACTGGGTACAGTCAGAAGCGCGGGAGGGTGAGAGAAATTCACCAGAGCCAGAGCAGGGAGCGGAACAGGCAGACTGACGAAGTACACTGCTGAGGGCAGCCGGTGGCAGGAGAGGTCTGCGTGCCATGTTGGACCCTCGCCCAGTGGCCGGGGATTGAACTGGTGCTGTAGAGGCTGGGGGCAGCTTCGCAGCCCAGCACTCAACCGCTGTGCCACCAGGGGAGGCTCTTATGTGCCTTTTTTAAGTGAAGTTGAGCATTGAAGAAAATGTTAGCGTTCCATATTCACTTTTTGGGGAGATATGGAAATTTGTTGACTGTTTCCTTTGCTCTTCTTTTTTATTAGGGGTGTTGCTGTTTTTTCTTATCAGTGTGTGTAAACTTTTATACATTAAGCATAGTAACTCTTTGGTGTCATATGGTGTCAGTGTATTTTCCCAAATTATTTGGCTTTTAATTTTAATCACTAAACTTTTCTTTTAAACAAGAGGTTTTCATTTTTAGAAAGTAAATTTCATCAGTATTTTGTTTTGTACTTTCATTTGTGGCTTTTTAGCTTTCCAAACCCTCCCCCATTTGGAGACGAAAACACAATTTTTCCTGAGGTTCATAATGTTTAGAAATATTTTTCTTCTCAACCTCAACTTGCTAACTCCTTATTTGGAAGTACTCTCAATAACATATGTTGTTGGGATGTGAATAATGCTGAATATTTCAGTGATCTAGAGCAGCACTGTCCAACAGAATTTTTTCTTCTGATAAAATAGTTCCGTATATTGGAGCTGTCCAATTTGGTAGCCAGTGTTTAAATGTGGCCATCGAGCATGATTAGTGTAACTGAACAATGGAATTTTTTTTATATATAAGATTGATTTATTTATGCATACAAGAGCTGGGGTACAGGCCAGAGATGCTGGAGGTGGTGAGAGGATTCACCAGAGACTAAACGGGGAGCAGAACAGGCAGACGGACTGAAATACACTGCTAAGGGCATCAGTGGGTGAAACAGGAGAGGTCTGCTTTGGCATGTGGGTTTCTCTCTGGCTGGCCAGGGATCGAAGTCGTGCTGCAGAGGCTGTGGATTGCTTCATAGTGCAGTGCTTAACCCCTTGTGCCACCAGGGAGGCCCTGAAAAATGCAATTTCTAAGTTAACTTTTCTTGCAAATAAAATTGAAGTTAATTTAATTACAAATTAAATTTTATTAAAATTTTGATGTAAGTTAAAAACAAATTTAAATAAGTCTAAAGACTCAAGGTTTTTAATTTTGTGTTTTTGCATCCTACATTTGCAACTTTGAGTGGAGTAGTCTTTATTTTGTTCCTTTATTTTGTATCTTTTCTCTAAGGAAAGATATTCAAGGGTATGGTATCAGTGGTACTACCTAATTGATTGTATGTCGTTATAGCTCCCTTTTTCTAGTGATATGAAGAGTGGGTAGCACAAACATTGGAGGGGGAGGCAAGAAAGGGATAAGTTATTTATCCACCAGAAAGGTACAAATTGAAGTTCCTGTCATTTTGTATGTGGACAGATTCCTATCTAGCCTCTTTAGTGACCTTAGCAAAATTTCTCCAAGGAAAGGGTTTCTGTGGTGAGTTGCACCATTTTCTTAGGCTTACCCTACTTTTTTTCTGTTACAGACGCTGCATTCAGGTTGTACATAAGCTGCTTTGCTATCAGAAGAAGTGTAGAATACGCCTGCATTACACCTGGCGGGAACTCTGGTCAGGTAACTTTCTCTTTTGAATTTATTTTCTTTTCCTATACATTTTATGAGACCCTAGATCTAGACACAGGATGAATTAAAAACAAACCAAAAAACTTTAAGATGCTTTTATTTTCATTCACACTTTTTGTCATTCAGTTTTCTCATCCAGACCTGGGCATATCTCATATCTATTCCCCACTTTCTTGTTCCTTTGCCTTGTTTTTTTCCTCCAGCTGATAAAAACAATTGAATATTTTTAAGTTCCAGTGATTCTTTCTTTGAGTAAGAGTGAGGTAGGAGGAGTCAGTACAAACTTGGATCTCCCTCGGTTCCATTTGGTAGCAGCATATGGACTATAGGGAGGCTTCTGTGTATTTCCTTAAGATGAGTAATCTCAAGAGGAATGTCTTAGGGAGAGGGGGTGGGAAGGGGGTGGAGAGATGGGGGAATCCTGTTCTTTGTGTTACATCTGGCATTATTACTGTTTACAGACAGTGTCAATTGTACCACTCCCTCTGTGCCAGAGACAAAAACAGCAAATTACAGTGTTTACTTTTGTCTTTGTATCCATTTGGTAGCCCAGTAAAATCACTGCCACCCCTGCAGGCGGGAAGTGGCTCTTCTCTAAGGGTACAATTAATGCTGGCTTGCCACCCCTTTCTTTTGTGCAACTAATTGGAGGTTTCAGGAAAGCAGAGGAGACATGTTCCCTAAGGCATTCACTTGCTGATAGGTCCTGGGGCTTTTGTGACCTGATGGTATACAATAAAGTCTTCTCCAGAAGATTATAGTGATGAATAGTTGCCCCACCCATAGGAGAGTATCTCTGTATTCTCTGAAGGGAGAGGGTGTGTTAGTGTCAGAGGTTTTATGAGAAACAGGCCAGTAACCCAGCCCCCTTCCATGGAATTCATCTCACTTGTTGTGACACATGGTTTCCTCCCAACCCAATTTGACTTTCTAAATTTAGTCTTCCATAATGGGAAGTAGAGATCTTTAATTAATGGATTAGCAAGTTCTTTGCAGTTACTGCCTTTGGCAAGTAGGAGAATAACACTAAATGGCAGTAATGGCATTTTGGCATTTCAGGAGAGAAGATTGTTTGAGTTTAAGATTGAGGGAATGTCAGAAGAACTAAAGAGTGATCAAAAGAGATTGAAATGACTAAAGTTAGTAGAATTTCTTAGGTAGGAATAATTACTTCTTAATATACAAGACTACTTTTCTTTGTATATGGATATTTATATTATCAGTAGGCTGTAAAAGCCTGAGATTAAAGAGAAAAGACAAAGTGATGCAAGTCTGTGGATATTGATATAGTTGTATTTATAAGAACTATTAGTGGGCAGAGGGGTATCCTGGGACCCCCAAACTTATATGCTGTAAAGGGGTCCAGCCATCTGTGTATACAAAGACACACTTAGTGTAAAAGCGCTTTGATAGAATTGATGTGCATAGAGAGGAGAGAAAAGGGTAATTTCCTGAAAAGGGTAGGTTCCCTGTAAAACACCTAAAGTTACCCATCCCCCTGGGGTAAATGGCAACCAAACAGGGTTGGCCTGAAATGGGGCCACTGAGGCCCAAAAGCTTGCCACAAATCTAAGGCACTTTCTGGCAGGGAAACATGGAAGGGGGCCAAAAGGGCCAGGCAAGTCTAGAACCAATGGCGAAACACCAAAGTAGCAGAACTAAAGTACAAATCAAGAAAACGGTTGGCATTGTCAGCCTCCCCACGTGTGTCTTCCAAGTGTCTCTGCCTATCTTCTCTTGACATGTCTCCTCCACGCCCCCCAAGTCCCTGCTGTGAGTCCAAAGCCAAGAAGCAAAAGGGTCCTTCTCCGTATGTCTTTCTTCCTATGCCACTCCCTGTGTCTCTGGTATCTCTAAGTGCTCTTCTTGTTATAGGGCAGCCCCGATATAAAATGGGGTGCCTGACTGTGGGTCCTCACCTGCGCGCTTAAAAGGACTTATCAATGCTCTACTGCAGGCACACGCGAAAGATTAATAAAAGGTTTATTTACAAGGGAAGGGGAAATGAGGAAATGTACAGCTCAGCGAGAAAAGTGGGAGACAAAGTTTTAAATGCATCCTACCCAATCCGCTGATCAGTAATCCCAAAATGGCACTCTGAGAGCTGGCCGCAAGCCAGGAGCCGTGAAGCCAGGAGGTGAGCAACAGAGTGAGAGAGCCCAAGGCCCACGTGTCTGGTTTTTATACCAACCCTGGCTGCTTAACTCCACCCTCAGGTCCCAGCCACCTTCCCTTTGGTGGTGACGGGATTTGTCTTTCCCAATGTCCTGATGGCTTTGGTCTGGAGTGGGGGTGGAGTCCAGAAAGCCTTTATGGGATTAGTGCAGAACATCCTTTCCTCCTAACATTCTGAGTCCATCTGCCTTCCATGTTATATAGCTTCATCTGGCTGCTTAGCTCTGTCCCTCAGGTGGGGCAGGGAACATGGGACCTCCTCTTTTTTCAAATTTTTAAAAAAGATTTATTTTATCTATTTATGCATACAAGGGCTGGGGTGTAGGCCAGAGGTGTGGGAGTGGGTTATTCACCAAAAACAGAGTGGGGAGCAGAACAGGCAGATTGAGGGAAATACACTGCTGAGGGGAGCAGCGGGTGAGACAGGAGAGGTCTGCTGTGGCATGTGAATCAGCTTCCTGGCTGGGAATGAAATCATGCTGCAGTGGCTGCAGATAACTTTCAGTGCTGAGCCTTAACCCCTTGTACCACCAGGGAGGCCCCCTGGAACCGCCTCCTTTTTTTTTTTTCAAGATTTATTTATACAATCACTGGGTACAGTCAGAAGTGCGGGAGGGTGAGAGAATTCACCAGAGCCAGAGCGGGGAATAGAACAGGCAGACTGACGAAATACCCTCCTGAGGGGAGTAGCAGGCACAGCCGGAGAGCTCTGCACGCCATGTGGGACCCTCGCTGGTGGCCGGGGATTGAACTGGTGCTGCAGAGGCTGCAGGCATCTTCTCAGCCCAGTGCTCAACTGCTGCGCCACCAGGGGAGGCCCTGGAACTTCCTCTTTTTATGGAGATCCTCTGTTAAAGTATGAATGGTTTATATCTATAATTGGGATGAAGTTACACATTGTAGTACTAAAGAGTTGGTGGTAATAGTTATTACTGCCTTTTTTTTTATTCTCTTCTGGTTTTATATTTTATTTCTTTACCATCTCTCCATCCTGTCTCTGTCCATCCTGTCCATCTCTGTCCATCCTGTCTCTCTTCTACATTGCCTTTTAAGTTGGCTCTAGTCTGTCTCTGGGGCAAGGGTTTCCCATTACTCTCCTACCTCTACCTTGTATGTCCTGACCTTTAATAAATTGACCCCTTTATCATATACACTATCTTTCCTGTCCTTTGTGCTGTTATTTTTTTTAAGATTTATTTATTTATGCATACAAGAATTGGGGTACAGGCTAGAGGTGTGGGGGGTGAGAGGATTCACCAGAGACAAAGTGGGGAACAGAACAGGCAGATTGACTGAAGTACACTGCTGAGGGGAGCAGTGTGCAAGTCAGGAGAGGTCTGCTGTGCCATGTGGGTTTCTCCCTGGCTGGCTGGAGATCGAACTTGTGCTATAGTGGCTGTGAACATCTTCATAGGTTGTGTCTTAACCCCTTGTGCCACCAGGAAGGCCCTATGCTGTTATTGTCATGTATCTTACTTTCGTATGTTGAACACCTCAAAATACCTTGTTCCATCAGTTTTTGTTTAGAGAGGCAATTATCTTGTAAAGAGATTTAAAAATGTCTTTTGTATATTTCTTTTCCGGCTCTTAGCATTTCCCCATTTTGGCTAGGAAATCGTTCTTTAGCTTATGTTGATCAGCTGATCATTGATTTTATGTTTGAATACTTCCCATCATATCTGTTTGTAATTATGTGCTATCTCAGGGGTGACCTGAGACCTTTGACAGGTTGAGAAAAGGTGTGTCTGAGTATCTTTAGTGAGGTCTGGACAACTGCTTGCTGCTAGCCACAGGCATTTGTATTACAGTATTCCACCAAGTGAGGTTAGCTCCTTTTCCTATATAGATTGGATGGGCCCTTCTGAAACTCTGGCTCCATGTGTTTGTACATAGAGTGTACAGTGAGATGCAAAGCAGCAGGTGTTACGGAAAGCTGCAAAATACTTTACTACATCTGATGCATCAGAGCCCATAATGTATAATATTGCAATCAGTGAATATAAATGTGGTGATGGTAGAGCCACCCACTCCTTGGCTGGTACTACCTCTCATATGTTGGTAAGCCCGCATTTTCACTCTTTCATTGCCTTCTAGACTTACAGATTTGAGGGAGGTGTGTGAAACTCATCATGGCAAATATGCCTGTCTGTGTAGATGCTTCTGCACATGTGTTGCATCTTTTAACTGACTCTTATTTAGAAATAAGTTTGGTAAGTTGCGTGCCATTAAATTGGACACACAGAAGCCCTTGATGTCTAGGAAGCAATTGATTAGGGTCCAGATGCCTTTTGTCTTTTGGAATGTGAGTTTTTAGTATCACTGCACTTCATTGGTGAATTTTATTTCTATGCTATTTGACTATAGTAGTCTTTGTTATGGGGAAGGTAGCCAGAGGGTTCCTTCCAAATTTCCATATGTAATTCCCAGGCCTAGTTTTATGGATTCGGAACAGTCAACTCTTTGGTTGGGGGCTTAATCCTGCCTGATATGAATTTCTACTATTGGTTTTGTAGATACAAGCCCTGACCTACTCCCTGCTGCCACTATCTATTTATATGATGCCTGTCACCATGGTATCTGAGTATAAGGGAAATATATTTAGGCTAACTTCAGTAGAATATGAAAGAAACAAGTCCTGCCTCCTCATCGCCCTCTTTTTAGCAATTATTGTTTTTTACCAAGTTAGGGGACGTTCAGAAGCTCTTCTCTGACCTATACGCTACTCAGATCTCTTATTTTCAGTAAAAGATTAGGTCTTAAATTTTTCCTGTGATAGAGATAGAAAACTGGGCTTTAGAATAAGATCCTAGTGAAAG